CCCCATGACCCTTGACCACGGTCCTGCCACCTCCTAGCCTTCCTCTCGTCCCACCACGCCCTGTAGTGTGGCATGCATCTGCTGTGGCGTCCTTGGAACACGTTTTCTGAGCACTTCCTGTGTGCCAGGCCTACCCTCAGAACCCCCTAGAGACCACATTGAGCAAAGCATTTCAGACTGGGGGCCCCAGTTTACAACTCTGCCTGCCTAACTCATGTTCATAGTTCAGGTCTCAGATAAAGGGCACTTCCTCCAGGAAGCCTTCCCTGACCAGGCTTCTACCTGTCTCCCCTTAAGCCTGAAACCCTGCAGGCAGAGGTACACAGGCTGTGTCTCTGGTCTAGTGCCTGGCACAAGGGCAAGAGCAAAGGAATGCTTGTTGAATGAATGAATGAAAGCATACCCCACAGAGTGGGAAGGCGGGTGGCCCAGAGCATGGCAAGTAGGCTCACTGGCCCGTCCCCCCAAGGAGGCAAGGGTGTTTGGATGCGGGAGGCTGACTTGATGGTGCTGCTGGGGCATCAGGAGGGTCCCCTTTGCTCTCCCCGCACCCCTGCCCCTGGTGTGCTGCTCCCGCTCTCTGGCGAGTTTCGTGTCTCTAACATGTGGGCTGGAGCCTCAGGGCCATCCCAGTGCAGGCCTGTGGAATCGGGACCTTCGGTTCTCTCACCCGGACATGACGGGAGAGAGGCTGCTTGCAAATCAGTCACCGGGGCATCAGGTGAGAGCGCAGGGAGGCGCAGCCCGGCCTGGCAGGCTCACGGCATTTCGCTACGCCTCCAAGCCCCACCCGGGGACACACGGAGCACGCGCAGCAGCTGGCACCACAGTGCGGGCTCGCTGAGCACAGCAGACGCTGGACGAGCGCCTCCTCTGTGCTGTGCGCCCTGGCCTGGTGTCCTCTCGGTGCCCTCCCCTTGCACCCAAAGTGGCAGAGCCCAGGGGACACCCCTCAGCCACGTGCCCAGGGAGTCCTGGGGTGGAGACTGGGCCTGCCTTTGGACCCCTGTGGGTGCCCAATGCACAGATGGTACCCACTGGGCACCCCCTGGTCCTGTGGGCATGAGGGTAAGGCCTGGGTCTGAGTGCTGCTGGGGGAGGACAGGGCCCCCTGGCAGGCAGGCTGTGGGGGGCTGTGGCCAACTCCATTCTCTCTCCCAGCCTCGGCCGACCTGCCTGTGGGTGGCCCGGTCCCTCATGCAGCCCGGCCCTGTGGCACCGGGCCCTCATTGGTGCTGGTTGCCTTGGAGATGGGCAGTAGCCACCCAGACACAGGGAGAATTCCCCTCCCCCCGATGCTCAGCTCCCAGAGCCAGAGCACAGCCAGAACGAGGTGCAACCGGGGGTCACCAGGGACATCAGCTATGGCCCAACCAGCTCAGGGAGGGGACCACGGCCAGGAAGCAGCTCCCTCGGGCCCCTTCAGGTCAGCCCCGGGGGTGGGCTCTGCTGACAGCAAGGGTGGGCCTGAGACCCGTAGGGTGCGGAACCAGCTGAGCTTACTCCAGTCCTACAGCTGCTGGACCAACACCTGCCAGGCGTGATTAACCCCCAAGTAGCCCCCGCCCCGGAGTTCTCAGGGGCCCTCTGACGGAAGGCAACAAAGGAGGACCTAGCAGCTGCCTAGGACCAGGCCTAAGCTGGGCTCCTGGGGTATGGGGGGTGGCGCAGAGCCCGCCGGATCTGATGAGAAGGGCAGTGAGGAGGGAAGGCGGGCACCTTAGGAGCACAGAGGGGGCTTCCCTTCGGAGGTCACGGGCATTTCTGTGATCCCAAAACAAGGCTCTGAGAGCCCTGGGCAGGTGGACTCTATCCTGACAGATTCTCTCCAGCGGCACCAAGTCTGCAGGCCGCTTAGAACGGACATGAGGGCTCAGGCTTTCTCAGGGTAGTCGGCAAAGTAAGGCCCATCGTTCGCCCACCAAGATGGCTCCAGTGATGTTTTCTCCGTTCCCACGGGGGTGGGGCTACGTCGAGTACCATTCCAGAACAACGGGAGAGAAGGTACTGATGACACACAGTGGCCGCCCCAGGGTGTCAGGGTTAGGGCCGAATTCTCCCTGGGAAGCCAGGTGAGACGGGCTGCTGGGGGTATCTGTGTTTATGCCTTGAATGCACACCTGTATGGCACGTGCAGGCATTGTTCTCACGCTGAGCCCTTGACGTGTGTCTCCTCGGAACTCAGACGTGCTGTGTGAAAGCCTGTAAATTTCAAAGGTTTAGGATGATAGCAAACGCGCAGTATCTCAGGAATTTCTATGTTGAATTACATGTAGAAATGACCACATTGGAGTAAATCGGGTCGACCAGCTTGCCCCAGGGGTCTAGAGAGTAAATATTTTTGGCTCCGTGGGCCATTTGGTCTCCACGATACAGCAACTGAGCGGTGCTGATGTGGAGTGCAAGCAGCATGGACAATACAAAAACAAACAGGTGTGGCTATGCCCCAATAAAACTTTATTTAAAAAAAGGTGGCACTAGATGTCACCCACAGGCTGTGGTTGGCTGGTGTCTGTGTTAAATAAGATATTTGAACATTAATTTCACTTGTTCGGGTATTTTTTAAAATTTTATTTTATATATTTATTTGAAAGGCAGTTACAGAGAGGGAGAGAGGTCTTCCATCCACTGGTTAACTTCCCAAATGGCTGCAATGGCCAGAGCCAAGCTGATCTGAAGCCAGGAGCCAGGAGCTTCCTCCCAGTCTCCCAAGATGGTGCAGGAGCCCAAGGACTTGGGCCATCTTCTACTGCTTTCCCAGGCCACAGCAGGGAGCTGGATCGGAAGTGGAGCAGCCGGGACTCAGCTGGCGCCCACATGGGATGCCGGCGCTGCAGACCGGGGCTTTAACCCACTATTTAAAATTTGGCTCACTATTTAAAATGCGGCTGCTAGAAAGTTTCAAATTAGGTGTTGGCTCCAGTTAGATTCCTATTGCGCACAGCTGATGTGAGTACTTTACACACCAACCCTGGGGCATGACTTTTAGTCTGGGGGAGGGGTGTGTGTGCGTGTTTTGTGTCAATTCCGATGACAATTTAGCACGACTTTGGGTTCCCTGGGCTGCCTCCCTGACTGCTGAAGAGCCCACATACTGGCTCGGAGAGCGTGTGGCTGCTTCCCAGGGCTAACCCTACCTAACCAAGGAGTAGGTCCCTGAACAGCCACCAGGTGGTGCTATGAGACCGTGCGATACGTTACCGGCACGCGGGACCCGCACTCAGCCACCAGGCTCTGCCATCCATTTGTTGGGCGGTTTGGGGCCTCCATTTCCCCACCTGGAATTAGACAAGACTAGCCAGAGCATGAGTTTTGGAGGCGGACAGAGCCGAGTTCTTATTCTGGCTCTACCGTTATTATGACTTTTGAGTGGCCTTACATACATGTACCTTCACAACCCCTTTCCTCCATAAAAAAAATAAAAATTACATTTCAGAATTACGTTGGTGTGTGAAACTTTTCATCACTATTCCTATTGCTACCACCTGAGAGCAGCTACTTATGAAAGACAGGGCAGTCTGCGTAGCACCCAGTGTTGGAGACTGGAAGTCCAAGGGGCCTGGGGCAGTCCCCCCCAAAAGCCCCTAGGTAGATGGCGAGCTCAGGTGGCCCGAAGGATCACCCAGCAAGGCCAGGAAGCAGGTGCAGCGCAGGTGGGGTCCGGCGCAGGCGTACTGCAACTCTTGCGAGAAGGCACGCCAACTTCTCCGGGCTTCCAGACATCCCGATGACCCAGGGCCCTCCTCGCAAGACCGCACCTCCTCGGGCACCCAGCTGAGATCCAAGCCAGGGCGGCTGCTCGAAGGACACACGTGATACCACGTGTCCGTGTTTCCCTTCAGCCCCTTTCCTCCGGCCCCTCAAAACGCCGCGGGCCCTGGGCGCCGAGGCTGTGGACGCTGAGGGAGTCGGGCCTGGCCCCGCGACCCGTCGGCTGTGTGGCCTTGACACGTTTTTAATCTGAAGAACGCAGGCGGAGTCGGGGTCCCGCGTCGCAGCGCTGGGCTGCGGTTCGTGGGGTTCAGGGTGAGAGCGCGCGGGGGCGCAGAGCAGGCCGCGGCCAGCAGCGTTCCCGCCCTAAGCGCTGTGGCACTAGCAGAAGCCCTCAACACGATGGGGAGGATGAAGGCGGCGGCCACGGGGCTGCGCGGGGGAAGGGAAGCGTTTCCTGCAACCCCGGAGCAGTGCCGGGGCGCCGCCTCCCTCCTGCCCGCCTCGAGCTCCCGAGCTCCCGGGAGCCTGGAGCACGCTGGCCCCAGGTGGCCGCAGCAGGCAGCCGAGCAGGTGGAGCGATCCCGGGAACCAGCTGGGTCTGCGTATGTTTCTGCTTCCTTCTCTTTTTATTCTTCAGTTTTTATTTGGAGAGTCTGAAAACAGAGAGGGAGCTCCCATCCGCTGGGTCACTGCCCAAATGCTTGCAACAGCTGGGCCTGGCCCAGGCCAAAGCCAGGAGTTAGGAGCTCAGCCCAGGCCTCCCAGGTTCTTGAGCCACCACCTGCTTGCCTTCTAGCGGGCTCATTAGCAGGAAATTGGAATGAGCCTTGAAGTCAGGGCTTGAACCCAAGTACCTGAATATGTGATGGAGTCCCGCTGGTGGCCGAACCCCTGTACCAAACACCCAACCCCTTATTTCCTGTTTTTTTTTTTTTTTTCTTTAAAGATTTTATTTGTTTACTTGAAAGAGTTACAGAGAGGCAGAGGCGGAGAGAGAAGGAGAGGTCTTCCATCCACTGGTTCACTCTCCAGATGGGCGCAATGGCCAGAGCTGCGCCGATCCAAAGCCAGGAGCCAGGAGCTTTTTCCAGGTCTCCCACGTGGGTGCAGGGGCCCAAGGACTTAGGCCATCTTTTACTGCTTTCCCAGGCCATAGCAAAGAGCTGGATGGGAAGTGGAGCAGCCGGGACTTGAACCAGTGCCCATGTGGGATGTCGGCACTGCAGGCAGTGGCTTTATCTGCTACGTCACAGTACAGGCTCGCCTTATTTCCTTTTTTTAAAAAAAATGTTTATTTATTTGAAATGCAGAGAGAGCAAAAAAGATGGAGAGGCAGACAGAGATATTTCATCCATTGGTTCACTCCCCAAATGCCCTGCAACAACTGAGGCTGGGCCAGGTGGAAGCCAGGAGCCTGGAACTCCGTTCAGGTCTCCCACGTGGGTGCAGGGGCCCATCTGCTTGAGCCATCACCTCCTGATTGCCAGGGTGCACGTTAGCAGGAAGCTGAACTGGAGCAAAGCTGGGACTGGAAGCGAGGCACTGCAGACGTAGGATGCACGCTTCCCAGGCTGCGACTTAACCGCCACACCCAACACCTGTCCCTTGTGTCCTTCTAAATTCCCTTAGTTTGACTTAATTTGAGTAACTTCTCTAAACCCTCAAGCTTGAAGGCACTGGTGCCAGGGTCGTAAGGGACCATGGTGACTGTGGGTGAGTGACATGGGGTCGCTAGTTCCTTTGGGATCCTCCGGCTGAAGCCGTCACTGGGGAGACTAGCCAGCTGACGCAGGTATGGGAGTCTCTCCCTGGCTCTGCTTTCCACCCACACACGCACGTGGGTCGCGGGCCTGGTCTCCTGGGAAGAAGGAGGGCTGTGGCCTCCAGTTTGTCACCCTTTCCTGGCTTAGTAACTAACTGCTTTGAAACTTGCCTTCCCCAACCCAAGGAAGAGATAGAAGCCAGGTTGCCTAGTTGGAGAAGCAGCCACCCCCAGCAGAGGCAGGGTCCCTGGGCTCAAGGCAGGAAAGGGGTGTCAGCCAGGAAGAGGGTATAACAAGGGTCGGAAGTAGGAATGTCTGTTCTCAAGGCTCATCTGCCAGAATACCTGCTATGCGACCTTAGCATGATTCCCTGCATGGGAAAAACGCGTTCTGAAGAAACGAGGGCTGTATGGGGACCCACACTCTGATGGAGCCAGCCCTGTTAATAAAAAACACAGTTTCTGTTTATGGAGGGCTTACCGGGGTCAGGCCCCTGCTCAGTGCTTCCTGTCCGTCCTGTCACCGAAACTTGTCCTATGAGATTGGTGCCCTCTTCCCCCCTTTCACACAGACACACTGAACCTGCGCAGTTCCCTGGGCAGCAGGTGGTGCTGAGTCTGGCTCCCGACTCTTCCTCCTCCATGAAGAAGGGCAGAGTCTAGCTCTCAGATCACCTGCCTGGGGCTCACCTGGGAGAGGGATGGCTCTGCTAAAATGCTGGGCCCTGGGGCCTGAGAATCATCGCGGTGGCTGGTTCCCTGGGATTCGGGTGCACACTAAGGTTCAGATCCTCTGGACAAAGCCGAGGCTGAAAGGTTGTATATCACCAGGGTGTACTCACCTCTCCCCAGCCACTGGTGTTCCTTGCCCTGGTAGGTGTTCCTTGCCCCGGTGACTCAGGTTGGGAGATTTGCAGCTTTGTGAGGTGGTAGGCAGTGAGGACAAGCCCTGCTGTGTGTTCTCTTGCCTGGCTGACAACGACTGCTGGCAGATGCCTGTGCTTCCAGTAACCTGCTTCAGGTCTGGCTGGAGAGGGAGCCTCAGGGAGTCAGGATTTGTCTGCCCCCAAGTCAGAGCCGTGAACGGGCCCATTTGGTTCTCAGGGGCTCTGGTGGCAGCCTCGCCAGCTGGAGGAGCTCCCGGTGTACGGGGCAGAAGTGTGATCCTCACTCCATGGAGCGAGGTCGTTTCCGCATTGCTTGCCTGACCCTTGTGGACCTTGGAAATCGGAAGGTTTCCTGGTTCAGCGAGCCCTCATGCAGAAGAGGGGTGCCAGAGGCCTCTCCCCAACCAGGTCCCAGCCCTGCCCCGCCCAGCCTGACCAGACCCCCGAGGTGTTTGGGGATGAGTCCCTCTCCCTAATCTCAGCCTTTTGGTTTTGCTCTCTCAGTCATATTGGACAATAAGCAGGCTTACGGTCGCGCACGCGGGCTCCTTACATCCTGAGTCACAGCGTCCCCGACAGGACATGCCAAGGGACGGAAGTGAGGAGCGGAAGTGTGGGTGTGGGTTAGGCGGCACCTTGTGTTTTCTGAGGTTGCATATGGTGCTCATTCATGCACAGACTCTGGAAGGCCACAGAAGCTTGCAGGGAGTGAGGGGGCTGAGACAGGACACTGGGGAGGGGTCTGGGGGTGCCATGTCTCCTCTTCATTGCTTATGCTTTGGAACATTTAGCCATGTTCATGGCATCAATATCAGGAAGAGCAAAGCAAAGCAAGCACACATGGGCATCCTGGACGCAGGTAAAAGGGTGCCACATTGCTGGACCCCCATGCTTAGGTTGCAGAAAGATAAACCACATTAATCGCACTGGCTGATGAAACTTGTCACACTAGAACCCCTGAGAAGTGCCAGTGCTGTGCCTGGTGACGAGTGTGAGCATTGTCGTGGAGGCTGGCATCCACGGGGACTGGGGCCTCTTAGCCCAGGTTCTGGGATAGAGCGGCGCATGTTGGGTAGAGTCCAGGCCCAGAGGGAGGGAGAGTATGGCTGTGTAGGAGGAGACTCCTGCTGGAGCTTCTGGGACAAGGTGGGGGACAGACAGCAGGGAGGTTGGCATGAGAGGCCTGATACTGGAAACCCATCTTGGTGTCTAAAGACAGAGCTCTTTCTGGACAATGAGGGGAGCCCAGGAGGACTGCTAGGCGCAGGGAGGGAGGAGAGGTGGGCTGTGGTCAGAATGGAATTTCAGAGGCTGACACTGGTGGTCACTGGGCTGGCTGAGCTGGAGGAGGACAATTCCGAGGCAGGCAGACCAGGTGGGAGTGGCCTTCGTCCCATGAGACAGCACAGTGGCCTGACCTCAGACAGGAGGGGACAGAATGCAGATGGGGCCTTGGAGCTTTGGGTCAGTTTCCCCACACAGAGGCTGAAAGCTGACACTCTTCCACCTCTTGCAGCCTCTAGCAGGGCAGGAGGAGCAGGGCCAGTGAGAGCGGGCAGGACTGTAGCCCTGGGCTTGAAGACCAGTCTTGGGGACTGCAAAGCCATCGATTTTCTTTTGGACAATTTGGGGGAGGGTTGGGCTCAAGCATGATAACAGAAGATCCTCCTCCCAACGTGACTCAAGTCAGGATAAATGCAAGTTGAACAATGAAAGCGGTTGGACCAGTCCTGTCTCCCGAGGGTGCAGGGTATAGTTTCCACCTGTTAGAGCAGTTTATTTAGAGGCAAGAAGTGGTTAATAAAGTGGTGCCTTTTTATCTAGGAGCGCTTGGCCTTTGCTTTCTTCCTTGGCTGGACAGATTTTTTGCTGTTGGTGAAGGCTGTTGAAGACTGCAGTTTAAATTCAACTGGAAAGTGGTCACTGACGTCCAGGGCCTGTAGAGAGGACAGGAGGTAGACTTGAGGGTTAGGAGGCGCCTAGCAGATGCTCTTATCTTAGTGATGAGCAAATTCAGGCCCAAGGAGGGAAGATGAAATGCCTGACGTCATTCAACAGAATACGCCCTGGGGAACAGCTTCCCCAGGCCAGCTCAGTTAGAAATTCTAGCAGGTCCTCAAACTACAAAACCACAGGTGTTGAGACTCAAGGCCAGTAGCCCAATGTTGGGACCCCAGCCCATCTTTCAGGGTGGTATTGTCAGAAGACAAGATGGTAGCCTTACCTCCTCCTCTGTCAGCTTGTAAGCTTTCCGGAAGTCAAAGACGCCATTTGAATCGGGAACCACAGATCTGATGATGTCCTGTCCTCGGAGCACAATCCTGGGACAAGGGGAGGAAGGGCAGCCATGTTCACCCACCCTGTTGATGTCTGAGATGGAACCAAGGATTTTGTTTGTCACCTGGAAGTGACTGAGTGGCCTGGTCCCTTCATGTGGGGCTCAGAGTCCACGGCTGGTTTAAGCTTGTGACCCTGGAGGACGGTGCCCACAGTTTTAAAATAGGATCTGTCCCTGCCATGGCCCCGTGGGCACCAGCACAGTGCGGGCAGTACCTCTGGTGATGCAAGAGACGATTTTACATGAATCATGGACACTACACCATGTGGCCATGACTTGCATAATGAAAAGTTGCTACTTCCTTCTCAACCCTTTGTCCCTTTTCCTGATTCAATGATGTAGGAAGTCTCAGGAGGTGTTAGCTTGTCTTGGACACGACCTCGAGGGAGCAAGCTGTCACCGTCACGCATTTGCAGGCATAGGAATCGAGGCACAGTTTAACACTGTGCAGTTTCCACTGGATTTCTTTTTACAGTTACCTTTGATTTTTGGCAAATGATGCTGTTTTCTTACTTTAGCTTCCTGACATTTCCTTTAAAATTAATTTGGTAGGAAATTAAGGGATTTAAAGACAAAGAGGAAGAACCACAGTAAAGGTGTTTGCAGCGGTGACATACAGACTGGAAATGTGGTGAAATGAGCTCTGTAAATGAACTCTAACACATCACGAGTGGGTAAGGTGGTCAGATTGACATGGTCTCAACCTCCTGACCAAGACTTCAAGGTGCAGGGGCTGACACTGTCGGTGCAGCGGGTTAAGCCACTGCCTGTGATGCTGCACCCCCTATCACAGCACTGATTTGTGTCCAGGCTGCTCGGCTTTCCATCCAGCTTCCTGCAAAGCCACCTGAGAAAGCAGTGGAAGACATCCCAAATGTCTGGGTCCTTGCGGATCATGTGGGAGACCAGGATGGAGTTCTAGGCTCCTAGCTTCCACCCCAGCCATTGCAGCCATTTGGGAAATAAACCAGTGGATAGATGTGTGCTTGCTCGCTCGCTCTCTCTTTCCCTCTCTCATACCTCACTTTTTTTTTAATCTCTGCCTTACAAATAAAAAAATAAATCTTTAAAAAAAGAAAAGAATGCAGGAGGTGCCCTGGGTGCAATCTCCTGCAACTTTACTCTGTGGGTTTCCGCTTTGGAGAGCTGGAGCAGGGACTTGTGCACAGGACATGCCAGTCCCGAAAGCTCCAGGAGGAACCAAGGAGGTCACGGGTTGGAAATGAAAGCGAGACCTCCAGCTTGAGAAGTGGGAACTGCTGGCTGCTCGCCGCAGCTGGCTGTCTCACGCTTCCTCCGTGGCACGCTGAGCTCTGGGAGCTGTGGCTTCCCATGGGACTGGCCCTGGGGGTTTCCCTGCTGTGGTCTGATTCCTGAAGGTCACTGGCATTCACACGCTTAAGCAAACTCACCTTCCTCTCTACACAAGGAGGCAAGGGGCGAGCTGCTTATGAATCCTCTGAGACTTTATGTGAATCAGGGAATACCAGTATCTTGATGCATTTGTTTGCATTTAGGAACGTATAGCAAAAGCGCAAAAATATCCTTCCGCTTACTGGTCTCATTTTTAGGCTTGTTCTCTGAGGCAATCCTAAATGTTTGCACAAAACACATGCAGAGGATGCAAAGTAACTAACTCACCACGTCTCCATGAAGGAGGTATGGCTACAGACTCCATCTTACAGGAAACGAAGACTCCGTTTCAGATGAAACAGGGTCAGGCTTGGAATCCAGGCCCAGCTGACACCAAAGCCCTTGCTTGCCTCTGCTGAGCTGCGGGCCCAGGGCTGCTGCCTAGGATGTGCAGTTTATCCACCACACAGAGCGCTGGGCAGCGGGGCCTGAATTCTACACGACTCGGCTCTCCAAGCCTTTCTTCAGGCTCGCCCAGGCCTGGCTGGGCCAGCAGCAGCCTGCGGACGCCTCCTACCTGTCGTAGGCACAGCTGGTGCTCTTCTTGACCGTGGTGTCCTCTTCGTCCCCAATCAGCCAAACAAATCTGGGGTCGGTCCTCAAGCGGATGTTTTTCCAGGCTTTCTTGGGGACGTAGCTACAGCCGGCATTGAAGTCGCCCATGAAAATGAAGTTCTGAAAGACACAATTTGGAACTCTCGCCTGGCTGGCGCTGCTGGCAATGATTCCACGTGCCCATAAACAGTGAGGTCTGCACTGACTGAACTGTGTCCCTTGCTCTATTCATAGTTGAAGCTCTGACCCCCCCAGTACCTTAGAATGTGATGGTATTTGGGACCAGAGAGTGTGGGTTAAGCCACCACTTGGGACACTGGCATCCCCTGTCAGAGCACTGGTTTGAGTCCTGACTGCTCCCCTTTTGAGCCGGCGTCCTGCTAATGTGCCTTGGAAAGTAGGGGAGGATGGTCGATGGTTCGAGTGCTTGGATTTCTGCCACCCACCCATTCTGACACCTGGATGGAGTTCTGGGTGTCTGACTTCGGCCTGGCCTAGCCCTGGCTATTGCATAGCCATCTGGGAATGAACTAGCAGAGAGAAGATCTCTTTCTCTCTCTGTATGTCTCTCCCTCTAACTCTGCCTTTCAAATAAACAAGGAAATAAATAAGCAAATCTTTAAAAGAAAGAAGAATGTCACTATATTTGGAAATCGGGTCTCAGAAGAGGTAATTAAAGTAGAACGTTATATGGGAGGGCCCTAATGCAATATGACTGGTGTCCTTGTGAAAAAGAGAGATTACAGTGTGGAAATTTAGTAGTTAAAGGTACGGGCATCCCATATCAGAGTACCTGGGTTTAATTCCAGCCACAGCTCCTGATGGTAGCGTGCCCTGGGAGGCAGCAGTGATGGCTTAAGTACTTGGGTCCTTGCTACCCACAAGGGAGATTTGGATTGAGTTTCTAGATCCCAGCCGTAAACCAACAAATGAGAGCTCTCTCTGACTCTGCCTCTCAAAAAAAAAAAAAAAAAAAAAACTTTTTTTTTTTTAAACAGGAGTTGAAGGCAGAGACACAGGAGGAGGACCAGGTAAAGACACCTGAAGACAACAGAAGATAACCTACTGCAAGGCGATGAGCAAGGCCCTGGGTGGGCACCAACACTACTGGACACACCTCGTTCTGGGGATTGTAAGCAAATCACTTTCTATTGTTGTAAAGCACCTGGTCCTTGGTGTTGCACAGCAGCCCTAGCATACTAGCACAGGATCTGTCTTAGGTTATTTTTGCTTTCTAGAAGAGCCTGCAGTTTAAGGCAGAGTCTCAGCTCTGATGCCTATCTGACCGGCAGTACCAGGGAAGGGCTCTTTGTGGACCAGAGGGTGTTTGCTGTGACGGCCCCACCTGTGCCTTTGTCAGTGCCTGTGTGATTCAGCGTGCACAGTTAAGGCATAAAAGAACCCAGCTAACAGATACCCTCAGAGCTGGCTCAAACGCGTGCAGGCTACACACATAGGAATGAATCAACCCTCTTGTTTTCCAAGCAGGAAAATGCACTTGGGTGGTGTAGGACAGCTTTGGCACCACTGTATCTCTCCTATTGTTTTCAAATTGGAAACCTCTTCCTGTGGAAATTCAGTCCTTGGAGGAAGTGAGAGGAGTTTGAAGGGCAGGGGGCCACAGCATGAGCCATCTATCCCCTGTCACAGGCCACTCAGAAACTTTTTATCTTGGAAGTATTTTCCCCTGTGCAGAGCTCCTGGTACAGACTCTTGACATTCCACAAAACACAGGAAGTGTCATATTTCCTCCTTTGTGCCATTGGTAGGGGTGGGTGCTGACTTCGGAGTTTTCTTAGAGAATTGTTCATGTTGACCTTGGTGATTGAGGTTTCCCTTGTGATTACTGGATGAAGTTGAGGTCAAGATGGGACTCTTAACCTGAAGGTCACCAGCTTCTGCTCCTATGGGCAGGATTTGTTTTGTGACATGCTGGGTCCAACATTAAGTGTTCTATAAGGCTGACGTTATATCTCACAACAAGGCATACACTCTGCGGGGTGGATGTCACTCTTAACCCCACTGAAACAAGAGGTGCTCTAGGCCATGTTCGAGTGGTGAAGTCAAGAATGGAGCCCTGATCGGCCTCCCTGAAGGCCCTCATCACGAGTCTCCTCTGTTCACGCTTGGATCACTGATGTCTCCCCAGAGCCCAGCCCTCAATGGGCAGATGCTCTCTACATTCTTGTTGAATGAATGATTTCATAATTTTTGGAATGAGTGAATGCGTCTTTCTCCTGTCCTGCTGTTTATCTGTGAACAATGAGGTGCACTTCGTCTTCTCCACTTTTCCTGGAACTGAGGAGGAGGAAGGGGAGCAGAAGAGGCAGTGAAAGCGGCAAAGAGGAAGCAGAGCCCTGTGGAGCACTTCCAGATCTGCCAGGGGCCTCCGCAGACGCTCCTGGCCAACGTGGCAGCATCCCTTCTTCCCGAGGGGGAAACAGTTACCCAGAGGAATGGCAGGTGTGCTCCGCCTTCTGTGAGAACAGCACCCCAGATTTCCTTGGGAAACCACCTCTTCCCTCCTCCACTTCAGTCCACAAGGTTGAGGCAACAGAGATTTAGCCAATCAGAATATCTCAAGCCCCTCTGATCACAGTGATTGGTTCAGGATGGACATGTTACCCAATCAGAGCCAATGGGACTCATTCTTACAATTGGTTGCATTTAGAAAAGGAAATCGGTCAGTTGGCCTGGACACTGCTAGTGGCCATTTGCCATCCCAGGGGTGGAGCCCACCCAGAAGAAAGGAGGCCAAGAAATGGAAAGCCCTGATTACCTTACCTGAGCCCTGGATCCAGCTGTGCCTGGACTCGTGGGCACTTCACTTATATAGACCAGAAAACTGCTTCTCCTTTTCATGAGCCAGTTTGAGATCCTGTTGCCTTTAACCAAAACGCTCGTGACCTCTCTCAGTGGCAAAGTGGGAATGATAAAAAGTAGCTCCCTTGTAGGGTTATTGGAAGGATTAAATTCAAAGGTCCATGTCAAGCCTCAGTGCAGTGCCTGGCCCCAGCTGGTCACTTAATCAACACTGGCATCCATTGTTAATGGTGCATGAATTCCTAAGACCCACGTCGCAGTGCCGGGCAGATTCAGCAGGAGGATAATTAGGGCCAAGGAAAAGCCTGAGAGGAGGTACACGCCCTGACCCCTCTCCTTGAACCCAAGGGCCTGCCTCTGCCCTTAGACAGGAATTTGACAAACACAGAGGTCATCACCTCAGCGTTCCAGCGACGTTTCACGTCCATGTAAACGTCCACCAGCTCATCGATCTCTTTCACAGATGCTTCAGGGCTGGTGTGCAGGGGCACAATCACGAAGTCCTTGACAGCTGAGGGACGGGAAGGAGGCGCAGTTCACACCCTGCCCCCACCAGGTCCCACAAATTCTACCCGAGAAACAGGCTCTCTCTTCTAGAAGGGCCAGTGTGGGGAGCAACTCGGACTAGACTGTTACTGGAATTAAGACTTATTCTATGCATCTGCTCTCCCACAATATGGCGCTGGGAGAGGAGTAAAAACAGCTTCTACACAGCTGCCTCTCACTAACTTGACAAGCTGCAGGACCTGCTCCTGATTGGAGGAGAGCAGCGTACTCGGCGTGTGGGTAGCAGAGTTGGGATTGGTGGAAGAGGACTATAAAGGAGGAGAGAGACAACATGCACCAGGAACATCTATCTGAAGGAACACCTGTGCAGCCCCCGAGAGAGCCGGCCGGCCGGCGGTGTGCCGCTCCCCTGCGGAAGTGGGGAAAGTGGCAGGGGGAACCGCCCTTCCACGGAGGTGGAAGGGACGGTAGCCAACCCGGGAAGAACCAGCAGCAAACCCGGGGAGGGCCGAGCAGACGAAAGAACAACGCAGGGTCCTGTGTCGTTCCTCCACGAAGAGGGGGAGCGACAGGCCAGGCTGCACCCTCCAGGGTTCCCAGAGGCTGCAGCCTGGTGCTGAAATTTTTATGATCTTAGGATCATTTGGCTGCTAATTTTTTTTTTTTTTTTT